TTTCTTTAAAATTATGATCCTATCCTATCCAATTTTATTCGGTTTGGATTGAATCGATTTTTTGATTTTTCAAAAAGTCTAAGATTTCAGCCATATAAATTATTAGCTATATCAAAATAAGTTTCAAGTTACAAACTACGGAAAAATTCAAATCTTCAAACGAAAACAAGTCTTAAAACTCGTTATGAGTTAAGATAGATTAATAGATAATAAAAATATAAAACAAGATAGTTTACTATCAAGAACATCTAAGATTCAAAATAACAAGATTTCAAGTATGGGTGTAAATGGATCAGGCTGGCCTAGCCCAGCCTACAGGCTAGCCTATAGGGGTGTTCAAAATATCCAAATGAACCGAACCGATCCATAACCAAACTGCTCCACATTTTAAAAACCAGTTATTTTTAAAAACCGGTTTCATACGAAAATGCATTTCATTTTAATGGGTTATTTACCAAACCATAAAAATAATTGGTTATCCATGGTTATTCATGACCACCAAACTGCTCTACAATTTTATATATACTTTGCGCTGCTGCTGAAGATACCTCTCTGCATAATAAATGCAACTTTAAATCTATTGTCGGTGCTTCAATTTTCCTGGTTCGAAAATATCCAGGTTGCTTACAGTTTTTGATGAAAATTGAATGTTCACTCTGCATACAGAGTATGAGGTTGTGAAGGAAAAGAGAAAGAATAACAATTACAAGGGTAAGAAATCAAGATAAATAAACTTAATGCAAATTTAGATTCAGTATGCGCTGACATGTGGTTATCTTTTACGCATGTAGCTTTTTGTTAGTTGTAAAAAATAAGAGTGGTTTAAAAAAATAGTTGGACAACCATCAGTATATTTTAAGACTTTAAAGGGTGAATAAGTGGATGAATTAGAACTGATCAGATCTTATATAAATTCATCATTGTTTCTTCTGTATTTGCGCAGTGCATCACTTTGGTGGACTATTATACACAAGAGTTTCTACTTAAGTAGAGTCCTACGTAACCATGGAAGGAAGGAAGAAGAATACAAAGAGTTTATACTTAGGTATTTTTTATTTATTTAAAAAAAAATAGCACAACTCATCAAAAATTAGTTTTAAATTTGTTACAAAACCGGTTTTAACTTAATAATCAATTTATGATTCAAAACCGGTTTTGATTTAAAATCGATTTTGAATTAAAATCGGTTCAAAATCGGTTTTCAATCAAAACCGGTTACAATTCATAAACCGATTTGGAAAAACTAAAACCGATTTTTAAAATAGAAAACCGTTTCGGTTTAAAAACCAAATCATTTAAAGCCGCTCCATGCGCATCCCTACTAGCCTATATTTGGCCTGGTCTAGCCTAACCTTTTTTTTTTCTCTTTCAATAATTAAGGAGATTGGTAAACTACAACTTATAAGAGAATTTGCAAAAAAAGATTTCAATTTTTTTCCCATCAGTTTGCCTTTCTATATTATTTTCTTCGTTGGAGCGGACGTTGCACGTAATTAGAAATGAGATAAATTTTTAATATTTCCTAGTACGCATTTTTTCTAACTATATTTATTCTACCCATTTATTTTATTTTTAATTTCATATAAGCTTAAGTTTTTCTAAATTTAATGAAGAAAAATAAGTACTACATTACACAGTTATGAATATCGTACGATATACGATACAATTCACAAGTTCAACGATACATATCGTGAGGTGTATATATTAAAAAGAGATTTGTATCGAACGATACGATACTGTATCCTACGATTTGAAAATTCAAGCAAATTTTTTAACTTTTAATATTAAAAAGAACAAGAGCAAAATAATATCAGCATACTTGATAAACGAAATAATATTGTTAACAATAATGACAAGGGAAAAGTACATCAGATTGTTGAATAAGAAATGAGAGATGAGTCAAATGACCATTCTAATAAAGAGGATGATAGATTAATTATGTCACCAATAGATACTGATAGTAGTAATAATATTAATTTTAATTATTAATGAGTGAGATAATAATTGGTTTGCAATTTAGTTACTGATCCGGATAAAATATAAGCTCAACCAGGGCCCAATAGCACATGGAAACCCAAACCCATTAAAGACCTAGAACAAAGCACAAGGAACAGGCACGAACGCGATGACCATATCGCGGCACACAAGGCAACGCCACCGCGCCTTAACACTAGTAAGCAACAGACAGCTCCAGCTCGCCACAACTCTACCACTAGACACTATGAAAGATAAGGCTACGAAAGGTCCCCTGTCTGACCTGCAGCCCAAGACTGGCCACTCAGAAGCCATGCCGCCTTAACAAAGGCGGCATCACAACTACTATATAAACACACGATATACCACCAAGGTACGATCATCTTTTACTTTCACAACATAAAACACCTGCCTCTGATAGTGACTTAAGTATCAGAGTGTCTTCGCAGGTACCCCCCATTTGGTGCAACGTGAAGGACAAAGGGCTCAAGCTCGCTCTAACAGCAGTACCAGGCTCAGGCCAATAACCACCAAAGGAGTCTCAACTGTGTGTGATTGGGCTCAATACGTATCGGACAGTCCATACCGTATTTGGTCCGATCAGTTACTAATGTATTTTGTTTATTGGATCCTTTTTAGAATTTGGATCTATCTGTCACTTCTGCTATCTATCTCTGTCTTTAAAAAATGATTCTATTTGTCATTATTTTTGTCATATATCTATTTCGCTACTTCCTCAACTGCAATACGCTATAATGCTATTGGGTTTTTCGAGATTAGCCGCAACATGCTGCAATTCGCATTTGATAACTATAAACCAGGCACCATCAAACCAGAACTCATCCCATATGAAAAAATTTCAATTTTTATATATATCTAACTGAAGCTAATTCCTATAAATTTATGACTAGCACAAAATTAGTAATTCATCCCATGGCACAGAAAAGCAACAAAACCATTCAAAACCACTCATTTAAATTAATTAATTAAATAATAAATAAATGAACAAGTGAACCCAACTTCTGAAACCAAAATCCCAATTGAATCCATTCAAAAGATGGGCGATCATGATATATTTATCTATTCTAAGACTTACCCACTTTTTTCAAGTCTGTATTGAAAAAAATTAAAAAAAGAAAAAGAGTAATCCATGAAAAAAAAAAAACTCCAACCCGCGCCCACAGAAACCAAACCAAACAAAATTAAAGAAACAAAAGAGAACGAACGAAAGAAAGAAAGAATGACACTAACCCAAAGGTGGCTTTCTGTTATTGGACGAGGATCTCAAGTGACCCACTTGATGATGACCCTCACCTTGTTGTTTTCTCCAATTAGCCATGTACAGATGAAAAAGGGAAAGAACCGAGCCACAAAAGAACAAATTTTTTTCCAAACTTTGGCACAACACGGATTTCAGAAATTCTCTCAACAGTAAGAGAGAGAAAGAGGGGTACATGCATGTATGGGACATTGACCATGTTGCCGCTCCTTTAATAAAAAATTATCGGATTGTCAAGCCAGGAAAAAATTTGTCAAAATGCCACATCACAATCTCTCTAGTCTGACAAGCAGGAATGGTCTGGACACGTGTCAGCGTATGAATGGTCAACCATTCTCGCTGGACTGTCTAGGTAGAATGACAAAATGCTGACACGTGACAAAAGTACAGGCATACAGAGAATGCTTGTACTTTTGCAGAGTGTTAGCATTCTGTCATTCTAGCTGGGCAGCCCAGCGAGAATGGTTAACCATTCAGACGCTGACACGTGTCCAGACCATTCTCGCTTGTCGGACCAGCAAGATTGTGACGTGACTTTTTGACGAAAATTTTTTTTGACATGACAATCCAGTAATTTTTTGCCTTGACAATATAGTCAATGTCTATGCATGTATAGGGACACATAGGTACCAACAAAAAGTAAAATAGAGATGGTGCGGAAAAAGACGAACAAGAAGCAGCAGCCGATGCAAAAGAAGACGGTGTAACTGAGGAGCTCATTTAATGTGGGCCGGGAGTAGAAGCTCCCATTCTAAAAATGAATAAAAAAATGAATTGAGATGTAATTTAAAAGAAAAAAAAGGATATAAATGATTTTTTTTTTCTTTTTTAATAAAGGACCGCAACATAGTGTCATGGTCCTGGGCCACATTAGAAAATTCCGTAACTGAGGAGCGTGAAGATGCCCGTGGACCCCACTCAGAAACAGAGCAACCACTCCGAGGTTTCTAAATTTTTTTATAACTGCTAGAAAATCAATTCAATCAAATGTTTAAATTTGTAAATGAGAATTTTTGAATGATTTATAGTAATTATTTTTTAACATGATTTTGGTGAGCTTAAAGGGTAAAAAATATCCAGCCCATTTCATAAAAGAAAACGAAGGCACTAAGAATTAAATCTATCATATTCGTTTTGTATTTATAACACGTGTTTTCTGTCTCTTGTATTTTTTTTTATTCACTTTTTTTATAATTTACTGTACCGGTTATATTATTTTAATTATAATATAATGCATTCATATGAACATAAATATAGATCATAATTTAATTAAGTCAACTGGTTAAATTGATAATTTAATATAGATCATATTAAAAAATATAAAGATAATTAAATCAAATAAAGCTGGTTTGCACTCTTACCGATTGAACCAACCGAGCCGTCCATTCATGTGAAAAAATATGTAAGCAACAAAGAAATACTTAAAAGAGCTAATTTTCTCCATTCTAAAAAATATAGCTTCTCTCGACCTCCAAGAAGATTTCTGTGGTCTTTCTCTGGTTAAATATTTATACTAATTTCAAACATTTTTATTATAAAGTTTTTTCCTAATGTCAATAAAAACAGATCAGAGATGAAATTATGAACAAAAATAAATAAAAGCAGCAATAGATCATCAAGGATAAGGCCTTATTGTATATTACGTGCTACCCATATAACAAAACTTGTATCTTCGAGCCACATTCACAAAACATAAGTTTCATAGGAGTCCTTGCAGTATAAGACCTTTGATCCTTAGCCTTTATCTTCATTTATCATGCAGCAAGAGTAGGTATTTTGTCAAGTTGTCTACATAGGGACGTTCATAAGTAAAATTTCCCCTCTTTCCTCTATTCATCTGATACCCGTTACCATGATATGCAGGAGAAGTCTTAGACAATGCCATGTTTTCTCTTTTTCTATTATATTCATCCCATGTTCCCCATTTCCCATTCCCACCAGTTCTTCCTTTGCCCATGTTATTCAAGTCACCACTTTGGTGCTCCCTCTGATTCCATCCCCAAGAATAATCATTCTCACCATTTTGACACTCACATTCTTTTGCATGTTCAACAGGAGCACAATGCTGTTCCCAAGAGTCCACTCTTTGATTTTCATGCAGATTTGAGTCCCAACCTTGGTCAGCAGGATTTGGATCAGAAGGCTTTGGTATTTCTGCTTCCGCATCCCCCCATCCCGTACAGGAAAATGACTGATTCAAGAGCAGAGAACTACCAAGAATCACAACCTCCTCATATCTTTCTTCCTCGCCGAGTACCATTGCTTCTCTTTCAGAATCGAGAACAAGCTCAGGGCAAACGCTTAAATTCCAATCTACATCGTCAATGTAAATGTCAGGATCAGGCAAGGATATGTTGCAGGGAAGGCCGTTGATCTTAGCCCAAAACCTCTTTTTTGCATTGTCAAATGCCTCTTTGACAGCAGAGTCATCCCAGTGCACCACATTGTCATGTGGATACATGTACCTCTTGCAATCTATTAGCTTTGGCCATGGAACTGAACCAACTGAAGAACAAGACTTCTCTTCCCATGAAGGCACAGTTGAATGACTACTGTCTGTGAACCAAAAAAGAATAATTCAATCAGCTGATAATTAAAGTGAGGACCTACTACGATACCAGGAATACATAATAATAAAAAGTGTCTCATTGTCTAAAAGCAATTAAAAATCATGGTTTGCACAAAAAGACAACCAAGAAACAATATGGAAAATTGGAAGAAAGGAAAGAGCCTCAGTAAAATGAATGGACACAAGTCACATTCATAGGAGAATTTACATGAGAAACCAATATTAATGAATACATAACATGGCAGGGATTTCGTAATGGCAACGGGCACCATCAACCAGAATTCATCCCATGTGAAAAAATTTCAATTTTTATATATATCTAACTAGGCTAATTCCTATAAACTTATGACTAGCAAAAAATTAGTAATTCATCCCATGGCACAGGAAAGCAACAAAACCATTCAAAACCACCTATTTAATTAAGTTTTCCTTTAATTAATTAAATAATAAATAAATGAAGGGTTTTATTAATCTCATGTTAAAGGAGATAAGTTATCTCATGTCATAGAGATAAATTTGTGGGCTCCACCACTTGAAAAATAAAAAGAAAAGAAAAGAAAAAGGTGGCACCGTTATCGAATAGTGTCTAGTTATCGAAGAGTGTGTAGAAGATAAAATTATCATATGTAACATAAAAGTAGTTTTTTCCATAAATGAATAAGTGAACCCCACCTCTGAAAACAAAACCCTAATTGAACCCATTCAAAAGAAGGGCGATCATGATATATTTATCTATTCTAAAACTCACCCACTTTTTTCAAGCCTGTCTTGAAAAAAATTAAAATAAGAAAAAGAGTAATCCATGCAAAAAAAAAAAAAAGAAGCTCTAAAAACAATTTACAGCGCCCACAGAAACCAAACCAAACAAAATTAAAAAAAAACAAAAGAGAAAGAAAGAAAAAATGGTACTAACCCAAAGATGGCTTTCTGTTATTGGACGAGGATTGCAAGTGGCCCACTTCATGATGACCCTCACGTTGTTGTTTTCTCCAATTAGCCATGCTCAGATGAAAAAGGGAAAGAACCGAGCCACAAAAGAACAAAACAATTTTCAAACTTTGGCACAACATGGATTTCAGAAATTCCCTCAACAGTAAGAGAGAGAGAAAGAAGGGTACATGCATGTATAGGGACGCATAGGTACCAACAAAAAGTAAAATAGAGATGGTGTGGAAAAAGACGAACAAGAAGCAGCAGCCGATGCCGAAGAAGACAGTGTAACTGAGGAGCGTGAAGATGCCCATCGACCCCACCCAGAGACAGAGCAACCACTCCGAGGTTTCTAAATTTTTTTATAACTGCTAGAAAATCAATTCAACCAAAAGTTTAAGGGAATAACATGGTAACTTTATACCCTTTTATATTCTAACCGTTGATTTTCGTCCATCGACAGTTATAATTTATTGAATTAAAATTATTAATTAATTAATAATAAATTTGGCCTATTAAGTTTGGTCCAATAGATTATAACTGTTGATGGACGGAAATCAACGGTTAGGATTTAAGAAGATATAAACTTATATCTTCTAAAAGGATATAAACTTATATCCTCTAAAAAGATATAAACTTATATCCTTTAAAATGATAGATATTTTTTTCAAAGTTTTAAATTTGTAAATGAGGATTTTTCAATAATTTATATTATTTTTTAACATGATTTTTGTGAGCTTAAAAGGTAAAAAATATCCAGCCCATTTCATAAAAGAAAACGAAGGGAGTAAGAATTAAATCTATCATATTCGTTTTGTATTTATAACACGTGGTTTCTGTCGACTTTTTTACTCATTTGCCTCTCATTACTTATTTAATAATTATTTTGTCCCTTATTCATAACTATCTATCAATCTGTCCCTCTTTAATTGATTAAGCCAAAAATTTAATCGATTAAATGATCAAAATAAGCAAAAATCGTCGACTTGAAGATTTAGTCGATTAAATCTCCCTATTTAATCGATTAAATCTCTTATAGATAAGGTTGTTCTTCTGATAAAGAAGAAAATTTAATCGATTAAGTTGAAGATTTAATCGATTAAATCTTCATTTGATCATTTAATCGATTAAATATTCAATTTGATCGATTAAAGAGGGACAGATTGATAGATAATTTGTAATAAGAAAAAATAATAATTATTAAATAATTAATGAAGAGCAAAATGGTGAAAAAGTCGATTTCTGTCTCTTCTATTTTTTTTATTCACTTTTTTATAATTTACTGTTCCGGTTATATTATTTTAATTATATTATGTAATGCATTCATATGAGTGCCTCCATTTCTAAGACCGGGTCACTGCAGCACTTTTTTTTTTTTTTATTTCTATATCTTTTTGATAATATTTTATTAGATTCATTTTTGTGAAATAAGAGTTATTATATAAGGGTGTTCACCGATTGAATTGGATTATTTTTGAAAAATAAAAATCATTCATACGATCTCATCATTCAATCATTTATTCGGTTTGGATATCATTTGAAATCCGTCCAATTTTATTCCATTTGAATTGGATCGGTTTTCAATTTTTCAAAAAGTCTAATATTTTAACCATAAAATTATTAGCTATATCAAAATAGAATCATTTAAAATTACAAATGAGGCAAAAATTCAAATCTTTAAACAAAAACAAATCTTAAAACTCATGACGAGTTAAAATAGATTAATAGACAATAAATATAAAAAATAAAATAGTTTATTATCAACAAATTCAAGATTTCAAATCTACAAAATAACAAGATTTCAAGTCATCATATTTCAAAAATCCATAATACATTGGATGGATTTGTTTTCACCAACTAAATCGAAAATTAGTACAATCCAATTAAAATATATATTTTTGGTTAATTAATTTATCGGTTTTTCGCTTCGGTCAGTGTTATTTGGATCGGTTGTTGAACATCTTTTTTTTTTCTGTAACTTATTAGTCATCTTTATTTACTTTTTTATGAATTTTATAACTCCTTCAATTCAAAAATAAAAGTTAATTGTTTCTTTTTGTTTTTCTTTTAATATCCTTCAGTCAACCTTTTTTTTTTCTCTTTCAATAATTAAGAAGATCGGTAAACTACAAGTTATAAGAGATTTTGTAAAAGACAATTCCTTTTTTAATTTTTTTTTCATCAGTTTGCCTTTCTATATTATTTTCTTCGTTGGAGCGGACGTGGCATGTATTTAGAAATGAGATAAATTTTTAATATTTTCTAGTACGCATTCTTTCTATTAAAATTAAAAATAATTTATCTAAGTATATTTATTCTACCCATTTATTTTACTTTTAATGTCATATAAGCTCAAGTTTTTTCTAAATTTAATGAAGAAAAATAAGTACTACATCACATAGTTATCAACATCATATAATACACGGTACAATTCTTACGATACAATACAATTTAGGCTCAACGATATGAATCGTGAGGTATATTAGAAAGAGATTTGTATCGAACGATATGATATTGTATCATACGATACGTGTATCGTATGATATGAAAATTCAATCAAATAATTTAAATTTTAATATTAAAAAGAACAAGAACAAAATAATGTCAATAGACTTGATAACAAAATGATATTGCCAACAAGAATGACAAGGAAAAATGACACTAGATTGTCGAACAAGAAATGAGAGATGAGTCAAATGACCATTCTAATAAAGAGGACGGTGGATTAATTATGTTAATGATAGATACTGATAGTAATAATAGTAATAATATTAGTTGTTTTTGGTAGACGTAATAATATTAGTTTTAATAATTGATGAGTGGGAGAATAATTAATTTGCAATTTAGTTACTTATGTATTTTGTTTATTGGATTCTTTTTGAAATTTGAATATATATGATATGAATTATTTTATATAATTTTAAATTATTTTTTATTGTATTTCTATATCCTATAATTCACGATATATGATAAAAAATCGGTTCATGATATACGATACACAATACGGTTCACGATATATGATATAAAAAATGGGTCAAAATAGGTATTATGATTCAACAACTTTACTAGATAGTATTAAAATTTTACTCTTCAGAAATGGCGTTCGAAAATCTCATTTTCCTGACTTTAAGGGAAGCAGAGCAAGGGGTTCAATCAAAATAATAAAATTAGCATATACTTCTTTTTTCATATAAATTGTTACTTGTTACAATAAAAAAAATATTACAGTATTCTTTTTTTACATTAATATGAAATTCATCGAAGGAAAAAATATTTCTCCTAAAATATCATTTTTTTTTTCAAATTTCAAAATGATATCATTCTAGGATTTTATTATTTGAATAAATAACTTTATCTTGACAAACACTAACTTCTTCATGAAAATACATTCTCATATTTTCTTTTAACATAAGCACCTCATATAAAAACAATAATTATTAATTAGCTGCATAGAATTTTAATTGATCTAAATAATAAATTTATAATTATTTATTACTGTGCTTATAAAATGAGAAAAAAATGTGAAGTTGCTAAGTGCTAACCAGATGCCAATCATTGATTTGTTATCGAAAATTATAAAAACTATATTTTCTCCTCATCTTAAGAGGAATGAATTAATTGAGAAAATTAAATAATATTATTCATTAACTTACAATAAAGACATTAAAAATGTTACTAAATTTCATTTGATTAAAGCAATATAATAGCAATTATATATAATCAATAAATAATATCCACAAGAGAACCAAAGATTCCTCCATCAAGACATGGGTAGATAGATGAAGAATAAGTTGATGAAATCCTTTGCTTTAGGTTCACAAATTTTACTGTTATATTGTTCTTATTTTTAAGTTATAACCAATAAGAAAAGTTTCTCATGTTCTCTCTTTCCATTCGATGCCTAATTAATTTCCTATACTATCTTATTTCTATCTTTCATATTAGTAAATTATACCAAATAAAAGTATAATAATTTCATAATCAAATTTTCCCTCATTGATGTCTTTATTTTCACATTTAATTC